GGAAAACATCATGGTATCACCTGGACACTTTGATGAAGGATGCTGAACTCCACTGACAGAAATCATCTTCTCCTTGGTGAAACTTATCCACTATTAATTACTTCACTCAACGAGCCAGGGATCCAGCTGCATCAGATGATAGTAAGTGGTATTGCAGAAGAAAACATCTGATATACACATGTGCTTGAATTTGCAGCTCTCCCCCTGTTTTCCATTGAGGCTTAAATTGAATATTGCTTTAAAGTATGCTTAAAACACAGCTTTAGAAAAAGTAATCACAGGTTCAACGAAAAGTGCTACGGCTTCTCTCTGCACAACCTATAATCAGGTATGTTAAATAATGATTCACTTACTTGTCTGCCTCCTCTCCCTGTGTCTCTGTCTCTGTGTGTATGTGTGCATGCATCTCTCTCTCTCTCTCTCTCTCTCTCTCTCTCTCTCTCTGTGTGTGTGTGTGTGCGTGTGTGTGTGTGTGTGTGTGTGTGTGTGTGTGCGTGTGTTTGTACATACATATGGTTAGGGATTTTCCTGAATGGTAAATTAATAACTAATGTTTACTTGTTGAATGAATGAATGATTTTGAGTTTTTTAAACTCCTAAAATTTCAAGAGGAAGATACTTTCAAACCATTTTGTTTACACGAAACTGTACTCCTCTAACTCATTTTTAGTTTGAACACAAAACACTCATGGAAGATCTCATGCTCTGACCAAAGGCACAGAGCTGTCAACACTTTCTCATCTTCTTCTAAATGTCCATGGGATGTTTAACTGTATGTTCTGATATTAGTAATATATGTCTCCTTCGATTTAATAGCCTCAATAGAGGATTATTGATTTTATTGATTTTTTTTAAATCCAAGAAACAGTGTTTGGTATTACTACTATTCTCTGTTATATTTTCCTCAATTTCATTGAATTTTTGCTCCAACCTTTACTATTCTTTTCTGTCTCTTTACTAGGATTTAATGAATTCATCTTCTTTAGATTTCTAGGGTGGCTTGGAGAGCTTTTTTCTCTTCCAGTATACATGCTCAATTCTAGTCATATTTTATAATGCTGATTTTGCCGTGTGCTTTCATTTTTATCCACTTCAATATCTGTTTGTTTGTTTTTAATGAGATTTTTTCCCATTAAACCATGTATATTTGGAAGCGTTTTTCTTAATCTTCAGATTTGGGAAGATTTTTTCTTGCTATCTTTCTGTAGATTTTCAGTTACGTTAAAATACCTGAAAGCATGCATTGCGTAGTTTCTATTACTTTAAATTTTTAAGGTGTCTTTTGTGACCCAGAATTTGGTCTATCCTGGTAAATATTTCATGCAAACTGTTATTGTTGGATGAAGTGACCTACCTATGCCAATTTTACCCAGTGATTGATGGCAATCTTGAGCTCAACAATGGCCTCACTGATTTTTTTTGTCTACTAAAGCTGTCTGCCTCTCATAGAAGACTGTTGAAACCCCCAACTATAATAACGAATTAACGAATGTCTCTCTTTTACTCCCATCTCTCTTTATTTTCCCCATATATCTTTCTGTCTCCCATTTCCCATGCCTTCTATCCTCAGAGTCCAAGGACAACACTCAAAGTCCTAACTCATTAAATGTGTTTTCTTCCTTTTCCTTGCAGGTCACTAATGCAATGCTAACCCAACAAAGACTCAATTAGTCGGCTGGGGAGTTCTGGAAGAAATGCTGTCTCTTCTAGAGACTCACTCAGACTAAAAATAAGTGAGTCTTTTTGCCCCTAGTTCATTTAGTCACACATTGTAGGCCACAAAAGGAACTGTAAAATCTCAGAGTAGATGGTATTTCTGCAGCTGCTTCTAACACTGAAGGGGCTGATGGTTGCTGTCATCAGCAATCTTCCTCGAGGGCTAGCCAATAAAGCCTTTTTCTGCCCCACTCTTCTCCTGATAGAAGAATTGAAGGTTTGAACCTTTGAGAGTTGAGTCTTTTATCACGAATAGAAAAGTTAGGCAGGTGGTGGTGTCACGCGTCTCTAATCCCAACACTCTGGAGAAAGAGGCAGGTAGAAATCAGAGTGCCTTGGGATAGGAAGTGGGCTAATGAGGCTTTTAGTTTATGGTGAAATCCTAGAATTACAGCTCGGCTCGTAGGGGGATTGCTATTCCTAAATTTGTTGAGAGTTCTGTGAGTTTGAGGCCAGCCTGGTTTATAAGAGCTAGTTCCAGGACAGGCTCCAAAGGTACAGAGAAAAAGTAAAATAAAGAAAAGAAAAGAAAAAAAGTTAGCAATAATGGCTTCTTTTACATAACAAGATGTCTCTGGATAAGGAGCCACTCATATTGGTTTAACACATCAGAAATGTCGATAATGGACAACAAGAAGGCTTGGTGGGTCAAAAAGGTTCATAAAGATAGAAGGAGAAAACCAACTCCACCAATTTTTCTCTGATCTTTGCAAATGTATTATGGCATGAAAACCATGCACATACACACATGCACACACACACGCACATGTACATGTACCCACATACCTAAATATTAAATGAAATGAAGTTTTAAAATGTCAATAACTTTCTTTCCATTATCATCTTTTCTGAAAAGTGGCAACTATCAGATTCATAGCCAAAGCAGGTATAAGAGCTATCACTATAAAACGTTCCTTTTCGTTGGAGAATCAAAACCTTTTTAATCCGCAAAGAAACCTTTTCTTTTCTAAGATCTCTTTGGCCCAAGCTGAGGTGTATCAAGGCTTCCAAGAATGCCTACAGACTGCGAATGAGATTTTCACAATTGACTGACACCAATAAGAATTCACTGCTCTTTGACTTGGGCCTAAATGCGATGTCTGCATCAAACTCCACCACTTGGGTCTCAGGGATTTATGTAAAAAAAAAAGAGGTGGAAAGGACTTAAGAGCCAGAGATGATGAATGACTTCAAGGAAGCAGTGTCTTCTAGACACAGCAGGACTGACACATGTATGAACTCACAGTGACTATGTCAGCTTGCACAAGACCTGCACAGTTCGAGCCAGACAGAGTCCCAGCTCTGAAATGAGGAAATGGGCATGGGCTCCTAACCCTGATCAAGAAGCTATCTGCAATTGATAGGGTTTGCAAAGAAAAATGAGAAAACATACACTCAGGGAGAGGATCTCCCTAGGTATGCTAATCACACTTCAGGATAGGCCTCTTGCCCAGGAGTAGCTGGCCCACATACAACAAACTCAATGGTTCTTTTGTAGACTTTTTGCCTCATATTGCTTTGTTTCTGAATTTTTGTCTGTCTTATTAGTCTTTTGCTTGTATATGTTGGCTTCTGTTTTAGTATGTTGTGGACAAGTATGTTGTGTATATTTCTTGGTTTTTGTCTGATTGATTGATTTGTTGTAACATCATTCTTTATTGATTCTTTGGAAATTTCACAGCATGTGCCCCAATCCTGTTCACCTCCCAGTCCCTCCATATCCTCCTCTCAACCTGAAGCATTCCCTCCCAAATAGTCACCCATCAATTAATTAAAACCATAACAAAACAAACAAAAAAACCCACCTTGCTCCTCTGTCTTTCCCACCTCTCCAACACCTCTTCATTCATCCTAGTAGCATGTAGAGTTGTTGTGTGTCACCCAGTACACCCTTTGTCCAATTAACCCTACTCACAAATCATTGTAATGAGTCACGGGTTTGGTTCAAGGATTCTGGCCTCAGGCACATCATCACCACTGGACCCTCACTGAAAATCCTCTTGGCTATCCTGCTGTTGCCCTGAAACATGGAGATCTTTTATTCTGCAGGACCAGGACCTTCATGTGCTCCAGCAGGTCACAGATGGGGTAGATAGTAGGGTGAGCTAACCTAATATCCAGCCCAGGATGTGGGCTGTAGGTGGAGAGAGGCTGCTTGTTCTTTCTGGCTGCTTGGCTAGCTAAGACCCAAAATAATCATACAGAAACTGTATTAATTAAATCACTGCTTGGCCCATTAGCTCTAGCTTCTTAATAACTAACTCTTATACTAATTCAACCCATTTCTATTAATCTGTGTATGGCCACTGGTTGTGAATTACCGGCTAAAGTTCCAATGTTGGTCTCTGGTGGCTCCATCGCTTCCCTCTCTCCACTTTCCTTTTCCCTGTCTACCTAAGTTCTGCCCTATCAACAGTCCAAGGCAGTTTCTTTATTCATTAACCAATAAAAGCAACACATAGACAGAAGGACCTCCCACACCAGTGGGCCTGGGCCATAGCTGAGCTAGTCAGTCCAGAATGCTAGAACTGCATCCCTCAGGTAAGAGGCAGGGCCAGCTCTCCTAAACCCATGCCTAAGTGACCAGCTCTTCACACCTGGTACTGAGGGATGGAGCCATCTCTCCCTAGTGTGGGGAGGGCCAGTTCTCCCACAAGCGGTGGACCCAACTCTCTTGTTGCAGTGTCCAGTGAGGCCAGGACCAACTCAACACGGCCCTAGGAATTCAGCATTCTTAATTCCTATGCCCCCCTGTGGTAGCAGGCTCCATGGACACAGAGCCCAGTCACAGCAGGACCATGGACCTAGACATGGCCCTTGGCAGCAGCTCAATCCAGATAACCATGGCCCTGTGGCAGCAAAGGTCACCCAGATCACCCAAAGAGCAGTGTAGTCCTTGGGCATCAAGATGGTTTCAAGCGGCTGATCAAACCCCAGGCACTTATACAACCCTCAATGGTAACAGGAGCCAAGAACATCAGCTCAGACCCTGGCTGCTTCAGTGCTATGGACCCAGACATGTCCCCAGGCAGTAGCTCAGGCCCAGTCGTCACAATGGCCCCAGTTGGCAACACAGGCCACTTAGATCAGTATAGCCCTGGTGGCAGCATGGTCCTTGAATACCAACATAGTCTCAGGTGGCTAACCAGACTCCAGACATCTGCACATCCCTGGATGGCAATAGAAGCCACAGAGATCAACTCAGACCCTAGATACTATAGGGCCATGGACCCAGGCATAGTCCCTGGCAGCAGTCTTGGCCTAGATGACACCATGGCCCTAGGTGGTAAAGCAGGTCATTCAGGTTGGCATGGCCCTGGCAGTGGCACAGCTGTTGGTTGCTAACGTGGCTGCAGGGTGTGACCTAGACCCCGGACATCCATGTGTCATTTGATGGTAACATGGGCCATGGACATCAACACAGACCCTGGCTACAGTAGGACCATGACGTGGTTCCTCAACAGCCACCTGGATCTAGATGTTACCGTGGCCTCAGATGGCAGCCCAGGTCACTCAAATTGGTATGGCCCCAGCAACAGCATGGCTCTAAGATACGAACATGGAACCCTGGCATCAGCTAGGCCTTGGATGGTAACAGGAGCCACATACATCAATAGAGTCACTGACTGTAGTAGGTCCATGGATCCAGACACAGTTCTAAGCTGAAGGTCAGGCCATTTTTTGTAAGAGAAAAAGAGAGGATGTCAAGTTGGGTGAGCATGAAAAAGCTGGAGGGGATAAGTGATAAGAATATATTATCCAAAAAAATTTTTCAACTAAAAACAAAGAATTGATTGTCTGTTTAAAACAAAAACCACCTAAGACGACTAGTTGGAAAATGAAGGGTACTTGAACATGTGGGGCAATGATAACAGTATCTGTAACATTAAATAAACATTCATTGACTGGAGAATGATGTTTTGATATATACATAATGCCTCAAATTGAAAGAACTCGGACTAAATCTTTACCGAGGTCATTTCATTCCCTGTCTTTGAACTATAGAAAACATAAAAGACCATCCATAATTAATACAAAGAAATTTTTTAAACTATGGACAGTCATCAAGAGAGCTAGCAAAATGGTCCTCAGCATCCTCTCCAGACTCATTTGGTCCCCCAAGGAATCTTCAGGCAGCCACTGGGTTTCAAAACGAAGCAGTCAAGGCAATGGCAAGCCAAAGCAGAAGAATAGCTACTTTGTCCTTCTCCTGGAAATAATGATCAGCTGTAGGGCTCATGAAAAGCCTCCCTCTTTCTACCTTTAGCAACTCGCCTCCGCCTTCCTCCCCAACCCTGACGGATTCCCCTGCTCAAAATCTGACGTAAATTGTTTCCTTACCATGGCAAACTGCCTGAGATTTCTGGGAAGTCTGTTTAAACAGGAGCCATGCCAGAGCTGGGATCAGCAGCGCTTCTGTGTAGCCTGTAACATAAGCTATAATTAGGGACATTGAGGTCCCTAAAGTTGTAGGCCAAGTGAGTTGTCTGTGGGAGGAATGTGTGTACACATACACATATATTATGGTATATAAGCAAATACATGTGATTTCGTGTGTATGTGTATGGTTTTTTTTTTTCTCTGTGTTTGTTAGCTTATGAAAAACCAAAACTAAAAAGGAATGTATTGGGCTGATGAAATAAATATAACAACACCCCTAAGTCTGTCTTCTCCTTCCTCAGTTCATCCATTCATTTATTCATTCTCTTGTTCATTTTTGAAAGTAAAGAACTGTCCTTGGTTGAAGAGTAACTAGCATAGAGATGTCATCCTCACAGAGTTTGTGGTAAAAGATAGATTTTTTAAGCCAATGTTTATAATTGTTTCTTGAGGACATCCATGTATTTACCGTCTGCTTTTCCTATTCATCACTGTGTCAGAGATGAAGAAAAACATTTCCTGCTGGGATAATAGAATTAAGAAATTATGAACAATAACTTTAAAAACAAACAAACAAAATCCAAATAACAGTACTTGGATTAGAATTCCAGCCAAGCACATGCAAACTCTCAGGCCTTTAGGAATTTGTTGAGTTCATGCCATGTTCCTTATCTGAGCAGGTGACCAGTAGTCTAAACTCATACTGATGGACATTCTTTGTACATGTTTCATGTCTCAATCTTTCCCTTCTCAAGCAAGATTATTTTTTGAAGTCATATCTCTTCTTGCCACATTGATATATTCATAGCATACTAATAGCTCGAATTTTTGCTTTTTAGCCTGTATGTTTGTATTTTCTGGTATTCTTCTCATTTTGTTTTGTGTTATGTAGCCTAGCATGGTCTTATGCTGTACATCCACCAAGTGTTAGTAGCATTTTACTGGGAAAAACACATATATTTATTTTAATGGAATTTCAAAACTGAACAAATATGTGTAATCATCATTTGTACCATGAAATTGAACATTATTGGCATCAAATCCTTTGTTGCCCCTTCTGATCCTTCACACTAAAGTAACACACCCCTCATTTCTAACACTAAGTTAAATTTCAATGATTCCTAAATTCTATTTTTAATAGGACTTCATCATAAGGGCTCTGGAGAAAGTGTTATTTGTCTAATTCAATATTGGTATGATAAATTTATTGGTTAGTGTAATTTCACTTTTCAGTCTCATTGGTGGATAAAATTATATTACTTGAACATAAGTTTGTAATCCAGTTGTCCTGAAAGAAAGGAAGGAAGGAAGGAAGAAAGAAAGAAAGAAAGAAAGAAAGAAAGAAAGAAAGAACGAAAGAAAGAAGGAAAGGGTCATGTACATTCTAGATATAAAAGATGGATAGGTGTGAATGATATATATAAGTCACAACTTGATTCATTGTGTGACACAAAGAGCTTTTAGCCATGCACCTAGCACAAGCAAGGAATTTCATAAGAGTGATGTAATGGTCCCGAAGCAAATCCAAGTACTTCAAAGGTATCTGCAAAGCCCAACAGTCTTTATCTCTCATTTCCTCTAAGCTTCTCTACTTTCCAGCTATTTCTAATAAGGCAAGGATATCTTCCCCAAGGAAGCTGTGTCACTTCTCAGTCACCACGACCTGTAAACTAGATGGCTTTGGCATTGATTTGATTCCTCCAATAAGCAGCAATTTTTCAATTCCTGAGAAAGTAGTGATCTTGCAAGTATGTAAGATCTACGGAGAAATGAAGAAGCAGATGCTGAAATTCGGGGATCGCCACACCCTACCTACTCTACAGCAATAGAAACTGAGTCACAGAGAAAAAGTGTTATTCACTAAGCATGGTAAGAAGTTAATATGAAAGACTAAAGTTTTGTTTTGCTGTGTTTTGTCTTTCTTTTTCAGACTCTACGTTCTGGAGGCCAGAGACTGTGTATGTTTTAATCATTGCTACTGCATGTGACGTTCCTACTTCAGGGCTTTTAAAATAGTATCTCTACCACTCTCCAAACTCAGAAAGTTCATCCCACCCTAAAAGAGAACTGGAGAAATAAGCCAATCCTTGGATTTTTTTTTTTAATGTGCAGTAACATGAACAAGTGGTTGATTGTTTAGGAAATGTACAAAGCTGGGAAAATTCAAATAAGTGATTACTTCTGGAACCCTTCCTGTGGTCCACTGAGAGTCCTTCCAAAACCACCCACTCCTTAAGACACACTTAATCTCTGTTCTCATAGCAATATGTTCTTAATTCTATTATAGATGTACATGACCTCATGTTGTAAACAGCTGTCATATGCTGAAATCTACTAGCTTGGATCTGACATGGACCTTGGTACCTAGTAGGTGACCTGCAAGTCATTGTCCCAGAAATGAACCAATCAACAAAAATGGTTTGAATACATGTATGACTAATTTTTAGTAGGATTAGTCTTATATACTCCATCTGTATTCTTGGTATTTTCAACCAAAAATTGATCTTGTATTTTCAGTTTCACAACTAGATTGTTGCTTCTGGCATTGACTGGGTAAAGATCAAAGACACTACTAAACAGCCTACATTGCACAGAATGGTTCCCATACAAAAGGTATATACTAACTAAAATGTCTGCAATAAATACGTATATACATACAAAAGATAAACTCTTGCCCAATGGCTTATGTTATCAAAAAAAAAGGGTATAATGAGTTTAACCAAGAAAGAACATTCTTTTTATTTGTAGGCCATTCAGATACAGTCATGTGATCCTTCCCATTCATAGGCCGCATAGAAGCAGTTAGGTGACCCTTCTCGTTTGTAGGCAATACAGATGCAGTCACATGATTCTGATTCTGTTGTCTAATCATCATGGAAAAGGACTCATCCAGGTATGTTATTTGAGAATCAACTGTTGGTATTCAGAGCTAATCAAACAGTTTCATGATTTGAATTATTTAACTCCTTCCACAGTTACTTACTGTGTGTTTTATAGCTGTCTGGCACTGTTCTAAGCTTGTGGACCATGAAAAACAATTATTATGAAAATGCAACCTTCCACTTGTCAAAGTACTGCTGATATGACGCCATTGCTTCCACTGAAGACAGGAAGATATGGAATATGTACCCAATCTGACATGTATATAAAGTGAGGCACATAAGTAGTTATGGGAGTAGCCTCTGTCTCCAAACATTAGAGTTGTCTCAGTTATATAAATGTGCAAAATCACTGCAACTGGCAAAACAAAGAAATCCATTAGAAGGTCCTTGACCGCTGTACTTACTCATCTGGAATTAAGAAGGCAGTAGTAAAAAGCAGGACAAACTCTTTCACTTTTCCTTCCGCAACTCTTCAGTAAGGCCGCCCATTTCAATTAGAGGCAAGGGACTCAGCTAAGCAGTCCCTGAGTGACACCTAGGAAGAGTCAAACGTTCCATAACATTAGCACATCTGTGGGAGCTACCTTCTATATTTTCTAAAATAAATACAAAATACATAAAAATAATAGTGCACATTCTTGTTGAATTTTTATCTCCTCTTTCTGAGTTTTGAATTTTTATCTCCTCTTTCTGAGTTTTTAAGGGGAAAAAAAGAGCCAGGATAAGTTTCCATGAATATACTGTTTTAAAAAAAAGATTTGCTGCAACTAGATGATTTACCCATACCCAAAGCTGTAGAGTTGCATAACACTGGTGACTTCATGACTTGGTCTTTTTCCACAGATGTTTTTGTTCCAGAACACTCTCCCCCTTTTAAATTCTCATCACTCCTCTGCTCTCCACCTTAATTCTTTCTGGACAGAGCAGAGCATTAGAGGGAAGCACAAAACTGAGAAATGTATGGTGCCTCCAGGGATTTCCATGACTCACTAAAATAACTGGATGCATCCTCTGGGAAACAGTCAGCAAGTGATGTGGGAAGATATTCTCCTTCCTCTGAACTGACTGGATGTAACATTCTCTGACTGACATTCTCAGATTCCCATGAGAAGATTACAGCTCTGTGTCCATCCAGTAGGAACTCCGAGCAGACAGGCAGCTTTATCTTCTCCAAGGAAATGGGAGCTCTTATCACCAAAGAAATGTGTTTTCTGAAAATTATAACTGAGATAGAGAAGGGACCCATTGCCAATGATACCAACACCTATAGAATCCAGGTCTGCCTCTGGGCCAAGTACACTAAATTCTGTTTCTTGAATCTGCTAGGGTAAATGGTTGTTGATTTAATACTAGACTGTTTTTTTATCAGTCTTAACTAAAATTTAATACAAAACATCCTGTTTGTAATATATTTGCTTTTTACATTGAGTCAGTTATAATGATACACATTCTCCAGATGAATCTGGAGACTGCAGAACAATGCCAATGATAATCATATTTATTGTTCCCAGACTTGCCTACAGTATAGGAACACAAACTCTCACTGTTGGAAAACTATGATATCAATACTATTATTATGTTTATGTAGCATGGAGAATTTATCAATCCATCTGATATTATCACTAATACCAGAACTACACTACTTGTTGGCAAAAGAGAAGAATCTGACGATTTATTGTTGTTGTTGTTGTTGTTTGAGACAAGAATTCTCTGTGTAACAGCCCTAGCTTTCCTGAAACTAGCTCTATAACCAGGCTGGCCTTGAACTCACAGAGATCTGCCTGCCTCTGCCTCCTAAGTGCTGGTATTAATAGTGTGTGGCACGGCTGCCTGACCAGTTTCATTCTTAAAAGATAACTGACTTTAATTTGATTCTCATGACAATGTCAATTTAACTACTTAATTATGCAAGATTCTACACTACATATAACACATAGAAATTTTGAAATCAATGTCAATTTAGAAAGAAAGACAGGAGTATCCCTAGAGAACTATTAAACAATGATCATTTAAAAATTGAGAGAGTGGTCAATTATCTATGAAAACAAAAGCAACAAAAAAGTACAATGAATGTCAGGGGCTAGCAGAATATTGATTAAGAGCAATAGGGTCCTGTGTAGTATGATGGTTTTCAAACCCCTCTCCTGGCCAGTGGTTGATTCAGAGACTGCAGACACACACACTTATTTAGCCACTGGGCCAGTAGGGAATAAGATTGGTTTCACTAGGTGAGTTTTCTTTAGGGCTGTTGCATTCAGTTCTGTCCTTGCATTACATAAACTGAGGTTAGGAATCTAGTACAGAATGTGACTAACCAACTCTTACATTTTACAGGATTTCACAATAAGAGAAGATAATTAAAAGTGTGTTCAAGGCCAGACACTGGGGAGGTAGTATTCTGACTAGCCTTAATGGAGACAATGACCAAAGCTATTACTACTCCCACTGCACATTTAAATAAAAGTATTTTGGCATTTTTCCTGTAGCCCTAGATGGAAATAATTTCAGTCAAATGATCAAGAAGCACAGAAAAATACTTGTGTACTACCTTTGATCCCTGACCTCTCGGGGCCAGTTAAGCTTGCCTAACATCCCATAAACCATCAATGCCACATTTTCCTCACCAAAGATTTAATGAGCTACATACTGGGTAATTGATAGCAAATGAACCACAATCCTTGTCTTCAAGAATTATACAGGCCAACAACAACAGCCAAAAATGGTACCTGTGTGTCATCTAACAGTGATTCCTGGGGATGGCAAAATGACTCAGACCTCAAAGGTTCGTGAGGTCTGATCTTCCTTCAGCCCAGGACATCTCCACTTTCACACAAGAACTGCTACATTTTGGGACAACTTTGAATTTTAGGAAACTTTAAATAGCATGTCCTGCTAACTTTAAACCTTCATAGTATTGGGTCTTTCACAAATTAATAACTAAAGAAGCAGCAATGGATATCTTCATATTCTTATCCAGTTGACAGTTTTCGTTTCTCTCTGACCTCAGTTTTCCTCTGGACCACATGTCTTCCAGTCAAAACTAAGTCAGATGTCATTGGGACCACCTTTTGGCCTCCAATCCCGTGATAAGACGTTGTGACAGCTCTCCGAGGACTAGATGTATTTACAGGGTATCCATTTCAAAGACTAGCTAATTGTTCCACAGGCTGCACAAAGTGCACTCTCAAATCATAAATGGGAAACACTCTGGCTGTTCCCAGGCCACAAAGCATGACCAAGTTGATTAGGACTCATAATTCACACTCAAGATACCTGAGCTTGATTCTCCGAGAAACAGCTGCCCTATAAAAGCAGAATAGAGGGTGTATATCACATGGTTCAGGCAGCCGTGGTCACAGCTCTGCAGCCACAGTAAACGGCCTCTGACATGCCTGGTCAGGGTTAAGCTGGAAATGAAACAGGAAGAGTGGGAAATCGCCTTTATTTATCGCAAACACGTACACTCAAACATCAAATCAAACCCCAGCCTATACAGTTCACAGTGTCTGAAGTGCTAAAGAGGGAAAATACCTCAGTACACAAGTGATCTGCTCCCACAAGCTAGCCCTGGACATCCCCTTGCCGGTCATATCTATATTTCAAGTGATGAAGCTACCAGTGCTCTACACTGACACACACCATGGGGGTGAAGAGTCACACCAATGCACATTAGGATGTGGTGGCTCGAGAAAGGAAATGTTGCTTTTAAACAGAATAAAAGAGGAAAAAGCATTAAGACGAAAGTTAATGAAGCCTTTTCTAGTCATGTGGAACACTGGGAGAGATGCTATGGGAAGGAATCCGTGTTGTGGCTTAGGGGAGCATCTCATTCTGTAGGAACCAGGCATCTCCAGATGAGTTCACAAAGAAAATAAGTCCCATCTTGGATTCTACGTGTTGTGGCACTTCTCAAAATCAACACTTTACAGCATAAGGTTTAGTGGCACTATTTTGGGGGTTGCCCAAAGTTACTCTGAATTTTAATTCAGCTGCTTCATCCTTTCATGTTGCCATCCAACATGTATTTCTAAGTGGTCACTATGTGCCTACAGATACAGGAAACAGCAAACAAGACAGCTCTTCCTAGGCTCATCCCTGTGGGTTTAGAGAGCAAGAATGTTAATATAGCTCAAAAGCTGAGGTGGGCTGTGCTGAGAGGTGGTACACAATATGATTACAAAAGGGAAGGATTCCTAGAGCTGAGGTCCTCTAAGGTCAGGCCTAAAAAAGCAAAATATAGATGCATATTTGGGGAGTTAAAATTGAGAATAAAAAAACACACATTTTTTTAAAAAAAAAAAAAGTAAGGAGAAATATAGAGTGTTGGAAATTTGTATGAAAATGAAAAGGACTTGAAAGGAAGAATTCTGGGACAGAGTTCTTATAGGTAAGGAAAGTGATTTATTTTTGTTCAGAAAATGGCAATGTAAATTTCAAAAATATTTTACTAATAAGATAATGTTGAATCAATTTAAGCTATTTAAATCTCCCCTGAAATTCAGTTTTTAGCATGGACAAAACTATCTACTAAAATAAGAAATAAAATTAAAAAACTTCTGGTCTTCTTATATAAACTAAACAATTACATATAATTATGTATATGTATATATATATATATATACAAATATGATTATCCAACATTCATTAACTAACTTTCCATTAACTCGAGTTTTCCCTTCCTGTATGAGTTCAGATACTTGCTGCTATGAAATGTTTGAAGTTATGAAACATCACTTATAAGATCAGGTAACCCTGATTAACTCACGATTTTGGCTCTTAAAGAGTTGGAGACATTCATTTGTTTGACCAGTATTGCCTGCAGTCTAATTGAGAGTATTTTTAATGCTATTATCTGAGTTGGCCATTGGAATACAAAGACGAAAACAGCGGCAGCTTGGTGGTTCATTTAGAAACGAAATGGTCGTTTAAATTAAGTATTCAGCAATTTACTGTGGTTCAGTGTGGTTGGGGATTTGTGGCAGCCACTACCAGTAACCATCGAGTATTGAAATCCCCTTCTATATAAAATTAATACTAGCGTTGGGTAACCATAATACCCTGCTTCATGGCTGAGGCATTGTCCATCAAAAATGGATTTAGTTTGAGAAAATTTGTCACCATGTGTCCCTTGTCTCATAGCTATAACAAAAGCAGTTTAGGAAATGAAGAAGTGTTATTTTGCCCCGCTGCTCCACAGAATAAGGTCCATCATGGCAGGGGAGGCGTGGGGCCAAGAGACTAATGCAGCTGTTCACGCTGTGTCCAGTTAGGAAGCGGAGCTACAAATGCTGATGCTCAGCTTGCTTCCCCTGCCCCGCCCCTTTGATTTCAGTTCAGGAGCCCAGCCCATGGAAAACGTACTGTCCACTTGTAGGTGTAGGCCTTTCCACCACAGTAATTAGTGTAACCTGGAAATCCCCATAGGCGTGCCCAGAAGTTTGTCTCCTGGGTGATTTAGACTCTGCCAAGGTGACAATATTAACTTTTTCACTTGCCTGTAACAATTACATGAAAAACTTATTTAGAACTAAAGATACAATATTTTGAGTTCTATCCAAGGAAGTGTGAACCCAGATGAAAACTCTTGTCAACAACTCTTTTATAAAAACCTATAAAAGTGATATCTAATTCCTTTCTTCCACCCTAAAACCTCGAAATATCTATCTATCTATCTATCTATCTATCTATCTATCTATCTATCTATCTATCTCTACCTTTTTCTATACCGTTTCAAAAATGAAAATTAATACAAATAAGCAAAAAGTCAAGAAGTCGAAAATACCCAAACAAACAAACCACACCCTGACCCAAAATGGAGTCTGTTTTATGTTGGCCAACTCCTAGGCATGAGGCATTCCCTGGACTTTGGTTGATATGCCCAGTAGTATTCTGCTGAAGAAAACTGACTTTTCCTTTCCCAGAGGTACCATTGCAAAGATCTTCTAGGTTGTACATAGGAGTTTGTGTCTGCTTCCCCTTCTCGGTGCTGGGTTGTGTCTGGCTTGAATCTGGGTAAGTCCTCTGCATCTTGTCATAGTCATTGTGATTTCATATGTGTGTCAGTCCTGTTGTGTATGGAGGACTCTGTTTCCTTGGAGTCATTTCCCAGCTCTGGCTTTTCAAATCTTTCTATTTCATCTTCCACATAGATCTCTAAGCCTTAAGAAGGGAGCTTTAATAAAGACGTCCCATTTAGGACTGAGTGCTCCAGAGCCTCTCACTCTCTACACATTGTCCAGTTGTGGGTTTCTGTTAATCGCCATCCACTTAAAGAAGAAACTTCTCTGATGAGGATTGAACAATGTACTGATGTCTGGGCATTGCAGTATGTCATTAAGAATCATATTATTGCTATGTTCCTTTAGTAGAATAATAGTAGTATATTTCCCTAGGGTCCATGACCTATGTAGTCTCAGTTTCTTGGCCACTTCAGTAGGTATGGGCTCCATCTAATAGAGTAAGCCTTAAATCTGATGAAAATTAGCTGTTTACTCTGATCATATTTGTGTTATTGTTGTACCTCTAGATCTTTCAGGCAGGTCACAGTTGTGGGTCACAGGGTTACTTACCGGTTAGGTGACACTGATAATTACTTTTCTCTGGTAGTGTGCAAAGCATCTCTAAGCATCATGAATGCTGAGCAGAAGTGAAGCTTCTTGTTGGGCACCAGATAGATTCCTCCATGTCATATGATATAAGTAAGTGTATCTTCAGCAATAGGGCCTTACCATCAGGTTGTAGAGAATTCTCAAGAGCCTTGGCAATAGCCTGCAATGCTTGTGGGATTCTGTAGGACAATTCACAAAACACTGGAGGTTTTACTTGGTGTCATAGGATGTCTATTTGGAGCATTGTTTTCCCCATTATATGGTGATTCTATACAAATTCCTTTCAGATATGTATATTTTAGGAAGTTTCTATAGTAGTATGTTCCCATATGGATTTTCAAAAGGCCTTTAGAGTTATTTGTCCTTTTCCATATTTCCTACTTTACCCTGCCCTCCCATTCACCTTCCCATTTAATCTCCTTATTCTAGCTTCTCCTTTATCTTATTATAACACTATATCCTTCTTTCCCTTCCTTAGTAGAACCTCTTCCTCCTACGTGATCCTTTATTAGGTAGATAACCTCTGTGGTTGTTTGGATTGAAGCATGCATATTAAAAGCTTAAAAGTTAGCATTCACATGTAATACGAATCATGCAATATTTGTCTTTTAAAGTTTAAGTTACCTCACTAAGAATGGTTGCTTTTGCTTCATCCATCTGCCTGCAAATTTCATAATTTCATTTTTCTTAACAGCTGCATAATATTCCATTGTACAAATATACCACATCTCCATCATTTAGGAAGTCAGCCTCTTCGTATGAACACAGGGTCCCCCTAATTCTTTCCAGCCACTCCTTTCAGGCTTTCTTCATCTGCAAGCCTTTGTGACTTCTGTAGACCCACAGAATTACTCTTTAATAGAGATTCCACAGATGCCACAGTTGGCTAGAACCCAGAGTGGGAAAAAAGAAACCAAAGAATGGAACATCCATCAAACAAAGGAAGACCAGACATTAGGCCAAGAAACACTTTAAATGTCATAACTTTAGATGCCTAGGTCCCAGCACATAAAACCACAAACATGAACAACCAAGACAGCAATCCAGTAACTCTGTTATAATAAAAAGAAAAGAAATTTAGATAAAATACAAGACAAGGATTTCAGAATCATAAACATGAATGTGTCCAAGGACCTTAAAGAGTATATAAATAAATGCCTTAATGAAGACTGTGGAAACACAATTAAATAAAAGTAGAATTTAACAAAGAAATAGAATCACTAAAGAAAGCTCAAAGTCAAATAAAACTGGAAATGAAAAAAAAAACAATGACGTCAGACAGAAAACCTCAGACGTAAGCCTCAGCAATAGATTAAAAGACTTGAAAGATAGAATTTCAATTCTTAAAGCAAAGTACAAGAAATAGCTCAGTCAAGGAAAATATTAAATAAAACAAAAACAAAATGAGAAACAAAAACTTTGCAAAACATCCAGGATGTCAGAATGATATCCTGAAAAGATTAAAGCTACAAATTATAGGCATAGAGAAAGGAGGAGAAACCCAGGTCAAATACACAGAAAATATTTGTCAAAAATCATAGAAGAAACTCCTCAAACTAAAGAAAGAGAGGTTGCATACAGAAGTTGAAGGGGTTTACAGAACATCGTATAACCAGGTTCAGAAACAACGCCACTTAGCTTAGCTAAGGCGGTACAAGAAAAGAGTTTACAGGACCAGAACGTGCTGCCTCAGGGACCTCTAGCTCTATATGAGAAACACAATGGGAATGGACTTGTAGTGTTCCCAGGAATCTCCAAAGAAAGAGCTACTCAGGTCTATCAAATTAATGGACTCTGGACAGTCATAAATCAGCAAATGCCTATTCTTTTTTCCTTACATACTTGTTACTAGTTAATAAATTGGAGACAAAGCTTTGAAAATTGAAAAACAATAACAAATACTCATTGCTATAGTCCTCATTTTATTACAATTACCATTATTAGAATTTATGAATAAATAAACTTTTGAATTATGATTCTCCCAAATTTGAAGGA